TGGAGAAGCTCGTGGTGGGTCCTTCAACCCAACAAGGGTTGGAGAAGCTCGTGGTGGGTCCTTCAACCCAACAAGGGTTGGAGAAGCTCGTGGTGGGTCCTTCAACCCAACAAGGGTTGACCAAGCTCATGTTGGGTCCTTCAACCCAACAAGGGTTGGAGAACCTCGTGGTGGGGCCTAAACAGGTCACCCAAGCCAAGGAGGTCCACCAGGTAGGTCACCGTGGTCACCTTGTGGTCACCTGGTCACCTCATGGTCACCCTGGTCACCTCATGGTCACCTTGGTCACTTTGGTAACCTCATGGTCACCTTGGTCACATCCTGGTCACCTGGATACCTTCATGGTCACCTGGGGGTCACCTGGGTCACCTCATGGTCATCTGGTCACCTCATGGTCACCTGGGGGGTCATCTGGTCACCTCATGGACATCTGGTCACCTCCTGGCCACCTGGGTCCCATCTTGGTCACCTTGGTCACCTCCTGGTCACCTGGTGGTCACCTGGGTCACTTGGGTCACCTCCTGGTCACACTGGTCACCTCATGGTCACCTGGTGGTCACCTGGGTACCATCTTGGTAACCTTGGTCACTTTGTGGTCACTTTGGTCACCTCCTGGTCACCTGGTGGTCACTTGGGTCACTTGGGTCACCTCGTGGTCACACTGGTCACCTCATGGTCACCTTGTGGTCACTTGGGTCACCTGGATCGCCTCCTAGTCACCTTGGTCACCTCATGGTCACCTGGTGGTCACTTGGGTCACTTGGGTCACCTCATGGTCACACTGGTCACCTCCTGGTCACCTGGTGGTCACCTGGGTACCATCTTGGTTACCTTGGTCACCTTGTGGTCACTTGGGTCACTTGGGTCACCTCCTAGTCACACTGGTCACCTCCTGGTCACCTGGTGGTCACTTGGGTCACCTCATGGTCACACTGGTCACTTGGCAGTCACCTGGTGGTCAACGAGGCCAACGAGGACTCGCTTGACCTCTCGCGGCCGCCCCCCCCCAGAAGCTGCCCTTGGGGTGGGGTGACGCCCCCCCGAGGTGACCCCCCAAGGTGACCCCCCGAGGTGACCTCCCGAGGTGACCTCCCGAGGTGACC